CTTGTTGTTTGTCATTTCTCCGATCACAAATGCAGACATGGTTTACACTGTTTACACAGCGCGATGCAACGTGTAAAAAGACAGTATAAGTCATTATAATCTGTAATTATGTCCCCACTGGATGCAGCAAATGCCTCGTTTATAATGAGTCTTAATGTTTTGTCTCGTCGCTCCTGCTGGGACACAGCATCACAATATGGTAAGGGGCATAACATTTCCGTCACACGCTTGAGGTATTCGGCCAATCACAACGCACTGGATAGCTGGCCAATCAGAGCACACCTCGCTTTTCAGAACGATGAGCTTTGTAAAAATCGAGCGTTTCAGAAAGGCAAGGCATAGAGGAGAAACAATAATGTACAGTATGTGGAAAATAATGTGTTTTTTGAACCTTAAACGGCATAAACACATTTCATTACACCAAATACACAAAATAATGTTCTTTTTAGCAGCATCATATGACCCCTTTAATGCAGTGACTCACTGACAAGGCATCTTTTAGTGATTTGTTTGGGAACAGAATCCCTTAGGGAAAGAGATTTTCTCAGTCAGGAAATGGGATATTCTGTTACCTATGAGTACCTGGAGGAGTGTCCTGAACATGAATTCAGCAACTAATCTTAACATCATGATGTGCAGATAGCATCTAGTTACCCCACATGAGTATGCATGTGAATAAAACATGCATCTTAACTGTTTGTGTAAATGTCCACTTTGTGGTTTTGGCAGTTAGATGTGTATGAATAGCAGGGGTTGTTATGTCATATGTGCTGACGTTTCTATAAACTCCACCATCCTGGAAACTATTTGGCTGCCATTCATTGATAGTTCTTGTGTAAATGCTGAGCTCTGTTTTTTGGTGCAGAATTAATAGATAGATGTTTTTAATGCAGTAGACATACATGCCTTTGAGAGACATTAATGTCAGTATCATCAGTGTCAATAATTGTAGGTCTTGTTCCTAAAAAACCCCTCTAGTTGACAGTTTGGGATGAGTGATGGAAAAAGTAAACACCCCAGTCATCTGTCTACTATAGCTTCAGGATTTGAGAAATAGTGGGGGCAGGACTGACATGGACAGACAGAGTTCAGAATGGTCTCTTTATTAGTAAAGGAAAGCCCTTGACCTCTTTTGAAGACCTCAAATGCCTTATTCTTAAAGATTTAATCCATTTAATTTTTTTGCTGATTGCCAATTTAACTGGAAATTGATTTCAAATGAATTATTTCACCATTAATTATGAACAATTCCCTAAATTGGTTTAGTGAAGGTTCTTGCATGTTACATTGTTAATCTTGTGTTTGTGTTATTTAATGCTTTCGCAGGTGAAAGTTTAGCCATGGCGGTCTCTTCTGCATTGTGCATCTTTAGTCTCTTGGCTTTGGTTCAGGCTCAATCTGAATCCCAGCAACCTAAGATTCAACTCCGCCTAGCGGGTGATAAACGCAAGCATTACGAGGGTCGTCTGGAGGTCTCCTACAACAATGAATGGGGGACTATCTGTGATGATGACTTCTCAATCGAAGCTGCACATGTTGCATGCAGGGAGCTTGGCTTCCTGGGTGCTGTAGCTTGGTCCCCATCTGCAAAGTTTGGACAAGGAGAAGGTAGGCAAGAATTCTGATGGCGTATTATAAGCTTCTGTTCTATTGAAAGATCCACTATGTGCATATATTCTTGGATTTTATTGCTAATACATTATGTTTTAGTCATTAGCAGTAATTGATACCAAACACGAAAAAGTATGGAAACAAGATTCAAAGTCAAGAGCAGACGTAATCTCATCTCTCTGTCTCTTTACCATAGAAACATGATGATTTGTCTCAATAAATCTGTCCAAAGATTGTAAATCAGTGGGTGGTTATGATTGAGCCCTATGGGAAGAGTAGCAATTGGTCTTCCACTCTTATTCCACTTTCCACCGAGTAAGCAAAATCATAAGCACCATGTAATGCATAGTGAAGGGGAATTCTGGAAGGGTTCATATTTGATAACTTTATATTGAATCAAAGGAAGTTAACAAAATCTAGCCAGACTTGAGTGGTTTAAGCTGGTAATTCACCCAAATAAGAAACTTTGGATTTCATTCACTTCAAAGATCCATGAAAAATGTCTTAATATTTCTTAAAATTGAGAAATTTTAAAGACAGAATAGAGACTGGGACTTTTAAGCTTCAAAATGCATCATAAAAGTCAGTCAGTGGGTTGGTCTTGAGAACCCAATCAGTCCATTTCATCAGCATAATCACTGAAAAGATTAAAAGAGCAATTCATTTGTGAGAGGCAGATGTCAAGATTTTAAGGTTAAGATTAAGATTTTAACTTTTGAATTATTTTAGTTTGACTTTCAGTCTGACATTCAAAACGCTTGGAGCATAGCACACAAGTTGTGAGAACACCTTTAATGATTCTTTTATGGTGCTTATTAAAAAATATTCTTCAAAAACTCACCATCATACAGGTTTTGAAATAGATAAGGTAGAGTTACAGAGTAAATTTTGAGAGTTGAAGGGAATTAAGTAGCCAGGTAGTGCCACCAACACTGCATCCAAAACACAACATCGGCTGGTGATTGACAAAACCAACAATTGTTCTTTGTTCCACAGGACGCATTTGGCTGGACAACGTCCATTGCACAGGAAGAGAGAAATCTTTAGCCGAATGCCCCTCGAATGGCTTTGGGGTGTCAGACTGCCGACACAGCGAGGATGTTGGGGTGATTTGCAATCAGAAGCGCATCCCTGGCCACAGGTTCATCAATACCATGAACAACAACGTTGAGGTACATCAACTCTAGGTTCGCATAATCATGTTAGTTTATTAACTAGGGGTGGGAGAAAATAATCGATCCGTCGATGCATCGCGATTCTCTCTCCAACGATTCTGGATCGATTCTGAGAATTCTGAGTTTGCTTTAGAAACACCCGTATTCTGTTTGCTTCCAGTTCCTCACACACATACACCACTCGAACCTTCTGTAAAATAATCTTTCATAAAGTTCGGAAAGATTGAAGCTAATTACAAGAACATTCGCGGGCTTCATTGCAGAGACGCACGCTTTGTTTGATGTTACACTTGAAGTGTGCGGTCTCGCCCGTAGGTATTTTCCTTACAAATGCTCTACAAAGTCATCATTTATCTGGTTTGGAATGCAGTGGACTTATATATTTAAAATATGAACCTCACTAACAGAAGGCTGCTTTCAATTTCAAATGCTGACGCGCACTTTGTTTGTGAAGACTCCGTGTAAGTGGTTTACTGCACTTGTGTCTCAAATTGGTTTTATGAAGCAAAATTAATGTAAACACAGCCAGTTATGTCTTAAGGGATTAAATGGACAGGACAAACCACATTACTTCTTATATTTCAAAAGAGATCTGTGCGTGAATGCAGCTTAATAGATCTCCCGCTGTCTATGATATCATAGTAAAAAACAACAGTAAAGATGAAGAAAAATCACTAACAGTTCTTGAATGGACAACGTTCAGATAATCTTAAATACTGAAAGCACTCTTTGTTTGTTGTTAGTAATATATTTCTATGCTCCTCTTTATTGTTTGCTACTTGCTTGTATGTTTTGAAGTTATATTAGTTTAAAATTCTTAACATACAACTGTTTTAATTATTTTTTTCCATTTGTAATTATTTTAAAAAGTACTTAATTACTTATGTAAGGATATGTAAATGTAAGGATTTTAAGATTCTCAACTAATTAATTAACAAGGGGGGAAAAAAGTAGATCAGGAATCGTTCTGGAATCGGATCGTGACTCCCAGAATCGAAATCGGATCGGATCGTGAGGTGACTAAATTATTAACCTGAGGTTGACAGTGCTTAGTCACTTGGGATTTACTGAAATGCAGTGCAGATGTAAGTTCAGAGCTGGTAAACCAAGCCTAAGGTTCTACTGGTGGCAATTGGGTTTAAGAAAGACTAGATATGCCTTTGAAAAGCCTTTTTAGGAGTTGCAGGGTTCAAAAAATGACAATGTGCTCCGAAAACCACACTGTATCATCAAAACCAGTGTTTCCCATCAGAAGAGCCAATAATCCTACCCAGAAAAGCATTATGTCTTAGACAAATTACCACATATCTTTGTCATATCGGGAAATTCAGTTCTGAGTGGCAGTTCTGCTTTCTTTCTTTCTTCTTGGTGAACATTCCCAGTCACTTTATCTCTTGGAAGAAAGGAAGTGAAGGTCTGTTACCATAGGTCACACATTCCTCTCCAAAATGTGCTGCTCTAGAATATTCTAAAATTCTCCTTTTATGATGCGCCAGCTGTCCACACACCTTTGATACAAAGGTCTGTGCCAGAATTAACCGATATTTGTATATTTGCCATGTTACTATGGCAACCAAGGTAAGCTGGTTTAAAGATGGACCTTTGAGAGCGATCAAAGAGCCCATGGTGTGCTTTTCCATTTCCACAACCCTAAGATTTAATGACTTTACCACATTGTGCTCCCCCCCCCCGATCCTTCCTGTCCCTGAGACGTTCCCCCGCTCCTCTGATGCCTTCTTTGGGAACTGCTGACTAATGGAAGGAATGATTTCAAAACAGAATCCCACCCGTTAAACGTGAGAAGCAAAAAGACTGTTGGTTAATAGATTTGAATGAGGGACAGTGTTTCTCTGGCCTGGTTTGAAAAATACCAGCCGACAGGTTCAACTTCCTATGATGTCACCAGTGAGGTGACAGTCTGTGAATGAATGTGAGAAGTTGTTAGCTATTGGTAGGTGCAATCGTGACTTTTCCCTGCATCACATACCAGAAGTCTGAGACACAGACGCTCCTCTGTGAAGCTCGTATGAGTGAGTTCTCAAACACCAGGGTGAACTAAACTGAGACAGACACCCAGATTCCTCAGGCTTCCTTCCAGCGCCAATGTTTTTATAAGCAAGAGTCCATCTTTTTGTGTATTTTTCTCATCAATGGACAATTTGATGTCAGAAATAACAAAGGGTAGCAGAAACTGGCAGACAAACAGTGCTAAATTCTTAACGCATCACAAGCAGTGGATTACAAAATGCTTCCACAAATATTATCCTTTGCCAAAACTGGAAAACGCTTTTTTTTATGTCATATATATAAACAACACAGTTTTAATGTCTGTTTGCCTGCTTTTATTTACCTTTCCTGGGTGTCAGCACAGCTAACCAGTGTGTGCTCCACCCAGCAAACATTACCTCTTAAAGACCTTCTTTAAAGATGTAGGAGAAGATGACAGATGGTTTTACTGCGGTTTTGCTGCTATGATCATATTAGCTTAGCCTATTATTGACATGTAAAGAAACACTACATTACCCTGAAAACATGTAGTGTTTGACATTAACATTAGCGTTAGTGTTATTTCAGAGCCCATAAATGCAGTGCAGCTACTTGATTAGCTGGGTTTAATGGCTTGTGAAACAGTTTAGACAAGTCCTTCAAAGACTGTAGTTGGATGACCTCTAGCAAAAGCACAAAATGCTTTTTTTAATGAATGTCCGTTTCCAAGATAGCCTTTGGCTGCATTTAGGTTCAGATAGATTCATGATTTTTCACAGAAGCAGAGATATTTTCACATTCGCATTCACATTTTTGTATTAATGAAGACACTGGCTAAAATACTTCCCTAAACAATCTAGCAACCAAACAGAACCGTGTAGAAAACGCCAAGCAGCATGCTAACAATCACAGTAGCATTGCAACATCACCACCACTTTTTTACCAGAAACTCCTAGTGCTATAATTTCTGTTTGAATGATAAATCAGATATTTAACTGTTTATATTGCTTTCCTTTTCACAGTTTTCCCACTATATTATCTGCCTCTGAAACATAAACAGTTTTTGTGCTTATAACTGACCACACACAGCTGGACACAAATTTATTGTCTAAACTAATAAGATAGGCAAAAGACAGGCTCTCAGAACAGACAGCAGAGGTAAATGAATGAGTGAATTGTTTGTTTTGTTTTCTTGTAAACATTTAGTGGAACAGAAGAACAGCTTATCGTATAATCAAATGAATCACCACCACACACAATCTGCCACCACACATGGAAACAATCGGAGGTCCACAGAGTGGTTACCAAAGATTCAGAGCATGCAAACTCTTTGCTTGGTTTGAGTTCAAGAAAAGGCTGTAATTAATCAGCTAATGATTATATAACTTATTTACATGTTTGTCTACAGCAGATGTTTCCTACCAACACAACTTTATATTCTTGGTATATACAGGACGTGCAGATGAGAATATGCAACTTGCTAAGATACACTATGACCTGACATGAATTTCAGCAGATGTTTAGAAGTCCTCAGGATTGAACTTTAGAACATTGTAAGATCATGTTCATGAGGCAAAAAGACAGGACCTAAAGAAGATTAAATGCTTATAATGATTTGTACTCTGCTTGTCATGGGGATTGATTGGAATATATATTTACCTTCAGCCAAAGCATGCTCTTAAGTCAACAAGCCAGTGCTGGTCTCAACAGAGCGCACTAGTAGTGAACCTACAAGCTAAGTGTAGCCTAAAGAGGTCAAAGGTCAGACCTTTCCACCAGGCATAGAGGTGTTGGCTTTCTCTCACATTCCGTTTGCAACAAAAGTAGCAAACTCAAGATACTTTGCGATTTCTAGACAAAGAAAGCTGTTAGATTCAAAACCAAGAAGTAAAGGGAGGGGAGGTCAGATGAGAGGTTAGGAAACCTTTAAAAGCTTATTTTTTTGTGTGGAATATTACACATGTACCTGATAGCTATTACTGAAATAAGTATTTTGAGAACTAATGCTAGAATCTGAGTGTTTATTAGCCAGTCAGAAAATTTGGACACTCATTTTGAAAGCTCTCTGCCAGTTTGTGTGAGTTTGGCACCAGACTACCTGTTTTTCCAAACAATGGAGAGCAGGGGGTGATTTTTTGGAAAAAGTCATTATTTTGGCAAAGAAATTGCTTACAGAACCTGTAGAATCTACTTGTGTCATAGTCTAGACCAGCTTATTCAAGTTTAAATCCAGGCTGAGACCGGAGTGGTTTAGTGAGAGTCAAGATCGAGAATAGAAGAGGGTCTAGTCTGAGTCTGAAAGGTACAGACAGTGTGAAAATGCTTTTGTATACGCAGTGCTGTAATAGTCAAGGCCAAATACTCCCGAGTCCATGACTTTGGAATCGAGTCCAAAGAATTTAAAGTCAAAACCACCAGTGTAAGTGATTGGTTGTCAGGGACAACGGTCAAATATATCATTTAAGGGTTATTATTATACAAAAACATTTGACCGCAGAATATTATCAAATCAGACTTAAGTACTCTATATAGTTACAAGATCTCTTGCTGCATTGATTTTTAAGTATATAGATATATTGCTGCTATATCTATATTAAAGGGATAGTTCACCCAAAAATGAAAATTTGATGTTTATCTGCTTACCCCCAGGGCGTCCAAGACTTTGTTTCTTCAGTAGAACACAAATGATGATTTTTTACTCCAGCCGTTGCAGTCTATCAGTCGTATAATGCATGGCAATGGTAACAAAATCTATGAGAGTAAAAAAAACATGCACAGACAAATCCTAATTAAACCCTGCGGCTGGTGATGACACATTGATGTCCTAAGACACGAAACGATCGGTTTGTGCCAGAAACCGAACAGTATTTATATCATATTTTACCTCTAATACACCACTATGTCCAACTGCTTTGAGCGCGCACACGGGATCCGGTGCGTGAGGTGTGTACGCGCTCTGGCGTAGTTTACGTTAATGGGTGTGTTGATATCCAGCCGAAGAGCAATCAACC